ACATAAATCTCAAAATTTATAGTTCTGTTTGTGTTTAATAGGCATGCATGTGTAAGTGGCCCATTGAATTCGATTACCCTTTTGCAATTCTAATAAGTCTGGTCTTTGATCTCACAATTCATTGAACTATGATCTATTCAGGAAGGCAAAGTTAAATGGATTTACCAGCTTTGTGGTTTAGCTGTCTGTACTCCAAATGACTCAATAAAAGTAAAGATTTTATCACCTCAACAATTTCAGAATAAGTCATCAGTGAAGTTATTCTCACATAACTAGCAGTTGAGTCATCAATGCTTTAAGACACTTGTGATTGAAACCAGGATCAAAAACATTGTGAAGTAAATTAACTGCTGTGCTATGTAGAAGAAAATCCTGTTGAATTGCTGAACATGTTCAAATCTGATTTTTAAGCAAGGCTTAACAGGCAAAATACTCTGGTGAAGACTGAAGAAAGCAGTTAACCGGATGTCATGCATTTGACCTCTTGAGGTCTGATATAGCATTTTCTGTTTGAGTCCCATAAAAACAAAGCATATTGGGGGGTGGGAGCATACATTCCCTCTATATCAGCCCACTCCTCCCCATTTCTGACTGCAAGTTGGATGCAAACTGAAAGCACATTTTTTTTTGCCATTCGCCCAACATAGCACTGGTCCTTAGCTGTGCTCTGCAGACAGAGGTAGGGTGGAAAGTCAGCTGCTGCTAAGAGATCCAGAGTCATGGTAATAGCTGGCAGCTCCAGCCTTTTTTCACTCCTGGTTAACAGGGTGTCTGCTGATGCATTAGATACATTTAGTGTGAGCTTCAATAAGGATTTGATCCCTGGGCTGGTCAAACTGGTTCAACTATAAACCAATAGCCAGTTGAAGTCTTCTGTGGAAACTACAAGGATGAAGGGGAATTGCACATCAGAAGTGCAGATGTTCCAGGCAATTTCTACAAAGCTCCATGCATCAGGAGTTATGCAGAATCCCAAAGCGTGTCTCTAGTCATACATTTGATATCTGACTATCTGGAAACAGGCAAACCCCCTTCACACTCCTTTCTCTCTGGGCTCTGTTTTCCACCTATCCATTCACCTGTCCCCTTCCCTTCAGCTACAACAAAATACCAGTTTTTCCCACCTACTAACAGTTCTGAAGAAACACCGGAGTGTAAACATTAACTCTACTCTCTTCTCATGGAGAGTGCCGAATCGACAGATTTTATGTCATCAGGGTGTCGGAGGAGTGGGGCTCCTGAGCCGGGGCTCGTCTGTTCCGACCACTTTTCTTTCATTTTTTTTTCTTTTTACTTACCTCTTATCCTGAAACTGGACGGCATTGGCGGAGGCATCGGTGAGGAACTACGGTATGCACTCACGTGAGCCCAGTATGGACCTCATGGTAGTGGCGAGTGAGCCCCCTATTTACATTTCCAGGGCAACCACCACTGTGATTGAGCTGGAGGCACTCTTGCATTTGAGTGAGAAGGCTGTCATTTCAAGCTACCCACTTTGAAAACTTGAGCTAAAATCGTGGTTGACATTCACAGCACGCTACTGAGAAGGTGCTGCATTGTCAGAGATTCTGTCCTTCAGATGTGATGTTAAACAAGCACTGTCTCTCCTAATGAGGGGACATGTAAAAGAGCCCACAGCAGTATTCATAGAGGAACAGGGTCATTATCCTCTGTGATATTTTCCCTCAACCAATATTACTTAAAGAAAAAAGCACAGATGATCTGGTAGTGTTCTGAAGAAGGGTCCTGAGACTCAAAATGTTAACTCTGTTTTCTTACCACAGACCTGCTGAGTTTCTCCAACATTTTCTGTTTTTGTTCCAGATAATCTGGTCATCTGCTAATAGGAACCTGCTGTGCACAAACTATCTGCCATTTTTCCTCCACTATACCACTGGCTGTATTTTTAAAAGTATCAAATTGTGAAGTACTTTCAAATGTCCTACGGTTGTGAAAAATGCTATATAGTTGCGTATGTTTCTTTCCTGAAAAGGTTGGTATATTATACACTTAGATCATAGCTTAGCATCAGATCATGAATATTACAAGAACAGGGACGAAAGCAGAAATAGCTGGAGAAACTCAGCAAATCTGGCAGAATCTGTGGAGAGAAAGCAGAGTTAATGTTTTGGGTGCAGTGACACTTCTTTAGAACTGATTGTAGCTGGAAAAGATTGGTATACACGCTGGAGATGAGTTTGGGGGAAGTGGGAGAGAAGTAAATGTTAGGTGGAGATGGAGTTTATAGAGAGAACATTAGTTGGGCAGGCAAAGGATTGGGTAAAGGTCAACCTGGTAGAATGAATAATTGCTAATGGGGACAGTTAGTGGCTGACAATGGGTTGGTTGTGGTAGCAGACCATGTGATGACCAGGCTTGGTGTGTGGGGTTTGGGGTAAGGACATGGAAGAAGATGCTCAGGCCCTAAAATTATTGAACTTGATATTGAGCCCTGAAGACTGCACAATCCAGAAGTAGAAAATGAAATGAAATGAGATTTTTCCAGCTTGTGTTGAGCTTTGCTGGAGCACTGCAGCAAGTCCGAGACAGAGATGTTCACCAGGAAACACAGTGTTGTGTTGAAGTCACTGGCAACTTCTACAAAGTAGTTCTACAAGTGGTTGTTCAGTCTGTGTTTCATCTTCCTAGTGTAGAAGAGACCACATTGTGAGCAACGAATGCAGTAGGCTAGAATGAGTGAAGAGCAGGTAAATCATTGCTTCACCTAGAAAGTGTGTTTTTGGACCTTGGATTGTGAGGAAGGAGGAAGTAAATGGGCAGGTGTTACACCTTCTGCGATTGCATGGGAAGGTGCCATGGGGCTGTGTTGGGAGTGGAGGAGGAGTGGACCGGGGTGTCCCAGAGGGAATGGTCCCAATGGAATGCTGACAAGGGAGAGGAGGTGAATGTGTATCTGGTTGTGGCATCCTACTGGAGGTGATGGAAATAGTGGCTAATGATCCTTTGGATGTGGATGCTGGTGGGATGGTAGGTGAGGACAAAGGGGACCCTATCACTGTTGTGGGATGGAAGAAAGGGCTAAATTGTGGGAAATGGGTCAGATACGGCTGAGGGCTCTGTCAACCATGGTTCTGTGGAATCCTCAATTGAGGTAGAAGGTGAAATTTTGGAGGCCCCCTTGTCAAAGGTGGCATCATCAGAACAGATGCAACTGAGATGGAGGAACTGGGAGAATGGAATAGAGTCTTTACAGGAAGCAGTGTGTGAGGATGTATGGTGTGGGAGTGGGTGGGTTTGTAGTGGATATTGGTGACCAAGCTATCCACAGAAATGGAAACAGAGATGTCAAGGAAGAAGGGGGTAACTCAGAGATGGACCAGGTGAAGGTGAGCGTGGGGACACAAAATTGATGAATTTTTCCAATTCCAGATGAGAGAGGAAAGCAGCACCAATTGATATCATCAATGTACTGAGAAACAGCTGTGGGAGGGGGGCAGAATAGGACTGGAACAAGGAATGTTCCATGTATCCTACAAAGAGACAGGCATTACTTGGGCCCACATGGGTACCCATGGCCACTCCTCTGACCTGAAGAACGTGAGTTAAAGGAGAAGTTGTTCAAAGTGAGGACAAGCTCAGTCAACCAGAGGAAGGTGGTGGTAGATACCTGCCGCTTCAACACAGTACTGTGTTCTCGGGCAACATCTATGTCTCAGGCTTGCTGCAGTGATCCAGCGAAGATTAGCAAAAGCTAAAAGAACAGCATCTCATTTTCCACTTGGGGACCCTGCAGCCTTTAGGACTCATTATCAAATTCAATAATTTCAGGGCTTGAGCATCTTCTCCCATGTCCTTCTCCCAACGCCCACACCCCAGGCTTGTCATCACATGGGCTGTTACCCCAACCAACTCATTTTCAGTCACTAATGGTCTCCATTAGCAGCTGTCGATTCTCTCAGGCTGACCTTTACCCATTCTCTTTGCCTACCCAACTGTTTTTCTCTCACTCCCTGTCTCTGGACTCCATCTCTTCCTTTCATATACTGCTCCCCTCTCCCCGCAAAACATCATCAGCATATATACCAACTTTTACCCAGCTACAATCAGTTCTGAAGAAGGGTCACTGGACCCAAAATGTTAACACTGCTTTCTCTCCACAGTGGCTGTCAGACCTGCTGAGTTTCTCCAACAATTTCTGTTTCATGTTTCGTATTTCCATATCTGCAGTTCTTTGGGTATTTTTTGATTCCAAGAGCAGGAATATTTTATAAGAAGACACATATTCATATAATAGTGCGTAGTGCTTTTACATGCAATAAAATGAATTGCTGCTCTATTCTGCTGTACCCATGTTGCTTCTTTACAGTTATGACAGGCAAAAGAGAGGATATTTTAACTCTGTGGCAAAACAGTCATATGTGAAGAAATAGTAACAAAAAGGGCAATGACTTTATTGGCACTATGTTTTTTTGGTTGGCTTGCATGCTTAGTATTTGGTAGAACCAATAAACAAGATGAAACACTAGGCTTTTCAGTGCATGCCAACCTTCACAAACAGTTTCTTACACAGCCCTCTTTCTGTATACATAAAGAAAAGTTCCAAAGCTTTGAAAGTTTTTGTTGTCACTCCTGGCTATAGGACCAGATGTGATTACAATCTAAAATAATGTCAGGAATATGAGCCCGCATGATTCTTGCACCAGATGTAGAGTTGACAACACTCCAGGGTTGTCAAGGACTCTACAGAACTTTAAGATTAATCGCCAGCAAACAGCTAAAAGCAAGCAGGCAGTAAAATTGTAAGGATTTATTTTAAAAAAGCCCTTTTCTTTGTTATTTTCTTGCAACATTTTATTAATCATCAAAACGCTGGAGAAGGGAAAATGCCCAATTACCAGGCAAGTCAAGATTTACCCAATCAATGATTGAAGAGTCTGGTCATTTTGTAATTGGTTGCTATTGTAAGGATGGACATGTTGGGCAACCAATGATGGAAGTGTGGTGATGCGGTGGTTGGCGATAGGAGGTCACGTCATGAAACCGTCAGCAGCATTTCCAACTAGAGTTGGCAATTCCAACCAGAAGTGTTATGAAAGGGTGTTGGACAAATATACAGCACACTCTAAGAATGTGCATATTGTAAAGCTGAAAGGAAACAGCGTGTCGCCAAGCATCATCGATTATCCAGAGCAGTGCCGGTAAACAGGAAACTTTATAAGCTAACGCAAAATTCTGCTGGTATTGTGTCCTCAAAATCTTCCTCAAGCATGTTGACCGAAACATGCTTTCAATATAATTAACTTTCTGAGAGGAATAAATGCAGGAAGAATGCTATGTTTAGCTTTAGTTCAATCATTAAGGGAAAAAGTCAGGAAAGATTGTTGAGAAATATTTTGAATCATTGGCAGAATCGCACTTTGTGGCATGTTTCCTGTTTTTGAGCAAACTTTACTGAGCGATGACCTTTAACTGCTCCATAAGGAAAATTTCCATGTCAACTGATGACTGATGGGCCCATTCTTTGATCTAAATTTTCTCAAAACTGCTCTGCTGTTTAATTTCATTTAAAGGGACATCCACCCATTTGTATAACCTGCCCAAAGCAAGCAAAGAATAGCCGTCCCACAAAATGCAGCCATTTTACAAATTAACAGAAGGAAAATCCTGCAAGGCCTCCTGGGCCTATGCATATATAAATCATGCCCTTGGTTTGAAAGTTCCTACATTATGCATCATGTTGCAAATCAGACACTTGCTTGTAAGTTCCCATTTGCTTGCAAGTTCCTGCATTCTCATATAAAGCAGATCTACTGTCACACACTGGGCTAGATTTTGCCAGAGTGGCAGGTGACCCAGCAATCGACTAGAAAGCTGAGAGCAGCTATGTTTCAGTTGTTTGGAAGATAGCAGGACATATTGTAGTTAACCATCAACTAATTAGTTGCTATATTTGATCTCCCATCTCTTCAAGAAATGGGACACCACCATGAACAGATTCAGGCCCAAATGGAGGGTCAGTAACTCCTCAGTCTTTCAACTCAGTACTGACCCCGGGAAGTGTGGTCACTGATGGCATTGTATCCACCTGAGAAGACACTGCAATGGACACAGTGGATGGGTGGATTCAGCAATTATGTGGCCAGTCAGACAGACCCCTGTGGGTGGGAAGTAGGAGTTGGTTTTTGATAACCAGCTGAGCTAGCCCAGTTAGCTCAGTCGGCTGAGCATGAGACTCTTAATCTCAGGGTCATGGGTCAAGCTCCACGCTGGGTGGCTTCATTTTGGGGTGGGACGATGGCTCAGTGGTTAACACTGCTACCTCATAGCACCAGGGACCCGGGTTTGATTCCACTCTTGGGCGAGTGTCTGTGTGGTGTTTGCACATTCTCCTTGTGCTTGCGTGGGTTTCTTCTGAGTGCTCTGGTTTCCTCCCACAGTCCAAAGATGTGCAGGTTAGGTGGATTGGTCATGATAAATTGCCCACAGTGTCCAGGGAGGTGCAGGTTAGGCGTGTTAGCCATGGGAAATGTAGGATTACAGAGAAAGGTAGGGGGTGAGTCTGGGTGGGATGCTCTTTGGAGGGTCGGTCTGGGCTGGTTGGGCTGAATGGCCTGTTTCCACACTGTAGGGATTCACTGGAATTCTATGGCATAAGTGCTGGTGTAGCCAGGCAGTCTTCTCATGTACTGGGGGCCTAACTTGACTTTGGCAGCAGGAAGGAGGGCTCAGTGACACTCTTGGTGTTCAGCAGGATAACGACGGGTAGTTCTCCGATAATGCGAAAGTTGCGTTCTCGTGTGACCTTGTGCTATAGAAAATCGCGTTATAGGGGAATCACTATAGAAAATTGCTATACCTGTACAGCAGAAAGCTTGCATTATCTAAACAGCATCCACTATTCATCAATCGTTACAGCCAATTCGCATTAACGAAACATGCATTACAGCAGAACTACCTGTATCTTGCACCTCCTCTCATCCTGATTGAATGCCTTAGCAATGAGGAGATAATGGACATTTCACCCTCAACATCTTCCTTGCCATTTTCCAGGATCACTCCCCACTCCCAGAAGCAGTGGGTGAGATTTAAACATTGAGAAATACTTCCACCCAAACAGCCCCTACATGGCTGGTAAAATCCAACCCATGATCTCTGCCTCTGCTAAAAATATGCTTATAACATTTCCACATTTTATTATGAGCAACTTTGAGCATTTTGTCCTTTCGTCCTGAACATTTTCTTGCTTGTCTGCCAATTCAACTACCATTTTACCATCTTAGAGACTAACATGCCACTGCTCTCCATGAGAAACAGCTGCTGACTACATATATTTTGTCTAAGATACTGAACCGTAATCTAAAGCCCATGAGACATTTGTTTAATGTAATAAATGTGCCAACTTTTTACTGATAAGATTTGAAATTTGGATTCTAATCTTACCCTTATTTTCCTATTCTTCCAAAGGCTTTGACCCTCTCCTACTTCTGTCACATACTCAAGTCCAGCATGCGTTGAACACTTGGTGTCCCTTCACTTTCCTGACCTCTTTTGAATGCTTTTTTTTTGCATTCCTTCATCCTACCACTGGTAGGCACACTTTCAGCATCTAGGCCCAAAGCCTTGGAATTCCCTTTCTAAATCTATTTCCTTTTTTTATCATTCTCTTCTCCATTCAGATATTTCTTAAATTACCCATCTTAACTAATGTTTTGGCACCTGCAAATAGAATTTCTTGTGGTGCAGTGGTAGCATCCATACCTCTGGGAGAAAAGTTCAACTTCCAGGTTCAGGTTCTAACTCAGGACTGGTTGACTACATAATGCAGCCTAACAGAATGATTACATACGGATATGCTCAAGTTAAAAATCTCCATGTGTAGGTCCCTGTCAAATCAAAGTATCATCCTTGCGCTAAGAGAATCCCCTACTGCCCACTGCCCACATTCAAGTGTCTTCTTCCCTGACTTAACATTAATTTCCTGACTGATTATGGTCCTGTGAAACATCTTGAGTTATTTTGCTGCTTTAAAAACATTACATAAATCCAAATTAACATGATTTCTCATGGCAAAAGCTTACGTACTACTTTTCTTATGATATTTGTTCAGAGATATTCATTGTTCAATTTGTAGTAATAACAATTTGCAAGGGTTGAAGAGAAATGGAAATTAATCATTAGGGTCTTTTTTAATATTAGAAGATTGTTTAATGTATCTTTTTTGACATGATTAATATATATATTTTTTATTGTGATATCATAACGGCGAATGTAAACTTGTTTTGCTGAGATGTGTGGCGTCAGGCCTAAAAGCAGGAAGTAATTCCATTTGGGTTTTCTCACATTCTTCTCAGGTTATTACTTTTACATGCCTGGGTAAAACGCAATGTTTTATAGGCAGGCAGGCAGGAAGGATGCTTGCACCCCACCAGCAGCACTGAGATTCCAAAGTTCAGTACCATATTTAAAAGACACCTGAAGAGTATGTCGTACTTTCCCACCAGGAGTATCACTGAACCTCCACTAAACACCCCTACCCACCTCCCGGTGATGTCAAAAAACAGCTTCAAGGTTCAGCAATGCCTCCCGAGAGGTTGCCTGTCCAGGAGAGAAGGGACATTCTTTCCCCTAGGAATAGCAACCAGAGGCCATTCTGACTGATGAAGATAACCTGGACAGAGGTAAATGTAGAGGGCAGTGTCCATGGGCGGCCCAAGAGAACCTGGTTCCAGTGCTATAAATAGATGAACGATTTGCTGCAATCCTGCAGGGTATATACCACTCTTTGTTCAATGCTTGAAGCTCCAATGAGTGTGAATCAGTATTGTAAACTTGCCACTGCACAAGACCATATTCACACTTTAAAACATATACTGAGTAATGGCATTCAGCATTGCATGCACCATTAGCTGCCTGACCTTCCATCATGACCGGGAGAATGTACATATCTCATCAATTTTCACTAAATGCTTGCATGGAATGAGGGCACAGCCATAAAAGTTGGCTTTGGAATGAACACCTCACAGGTTTCTGAGGCATGCATATTTAATAATTTGCATCAATTCTAAATCTTTAATGACAAAGGACCACCTTGAAATCACAATCCTTAAACTTTCAACCTTTCATCTATTATGTTCTTCCAACTAGTAACGCACGAGGACAACTACATCTCTGCAGCTTGTTATACCTATCAATGCAGGCACAGTGCTGATGTTCCCATGTTAATGTCTCTGAATGTTTCCCTCCCTCTGCACAGTCCACCTGAAATAAGTCTCCATACTCCCTTCGAGGAGCAGGCCACTGAGATGGCAGGAGAACAAGCAGAACATGCCTGTGCTAAAGGGGAGATTGTTTAGCTACAGCCACCTAGTGAGAAAGCCTCCAATCTTATATTCCCAAATGCACGTCAAAAACCAAGTTCTTAATAATTTATTTTTTATTCACTCACAGGATGTGGGTTTCTCTGGCTAGAACAGCATTTATTTCCCACCCCTAATTGCCCAGAGGGCAGTTAAGAGTCAACCACATTGCTGTGGGTCTGGAGTCACATGTAGGCCAGACCAGGTAAGGATGGCAGGTTTCCTTCCCTAAAGGACATTAGTGAACCAGATAGGTTTTTCTGACAATTAACAATGATGTCATGGTCATCAGTAGACTCTTAATTCCGGATTCTTTATTGAATACAAAATTCCATCATGTGCCATGGTGAGATTTGAATCTAGGTCCCCAGGACATCAATGGAGTTTCTGGATGAATAGTCTCGTGATCATCTCGATAAGGGTGATGTCTCCTGACGTGAGCAAATATTTGTGTTTTTCTATTCTGTCTCTGGATCAAACTCCCAAGCTGGACAAAAAGAAGAGCTCTAGTTCCAGGCCAATCTTTAACAACAGCTCAAAGTAACTTCAACAATGAACAGTCACAAGCCTCAGAGGATGCACCATCAAGTCTATCCTCCCACCCTCCCCAGATGGGTAACATATCTAGAGAAGTCATGGAGTCATATTCTGGTGAACATAGCTCTGACATGGGCCTCCACCTACAAGAGGAAGAAATATCTGGGCTCCCTAGCTGCCGGAGAACAGGCCGCTGCTCTGCCCAGTACAAGTTATAAACGTCTGGACTTACCAATTAATAAACCGATGGTGGTACAGAAGCAAACAGGGAAGGTCTGGCAGAGGTGCCAGAGATGATACGCAGA